AATGACCTTGTATAGGTATTGCCTGAAAGCGAATGATACAATCTAACATCTTCAAAATTAGAAAGTTCAATCACGTCTCTTTCTTGGGATAACTGCAATTATTCTTCAAGTGCCCCATTTTTAGCCGATCACCCTAATATAATACTGATCTGGCATGGTGTTGTCCACTATACCATGCTTTTTCGTTACGAAGTTTTATTTTCAAGTTAGTATGGTGAGCACACATGACAATAATAAGTTTAGAACTTTTGCGATTGTGGCATTCTCCTTATCCTTTTAGACGAATTTTCCTTACCCTTGCTCACAACCCCCTCCTCTCCCTTCCGCCCATTCCTAATACAATCCCCACGGCCTGATTAGTGGTAGAGCTACAAAAAATTGCTTCAGTGAGCCAAAGGTTTCCCTTGACTGCTTGACCTCTTCAAAAAGTCTCAAATAATTTCAAAGTTAGAGCGAAAGACAGACATTGTGAAAACAAAAGGTTGTATTCATCAGCGATTACTCAGCGCTCTGCCAATGATTCGCATTGGGAATATTTCAACTAGAAAGTCTTTATTCTACGTACTTGCGGGTGAATTCAAAAAACCAATAAGTATTTTGCACCGATCTATATTTTAAATTTTTTGTTGAGCCAACGATCCTCTTTCAAAATAAGCGTTTCTTACCCGTGCGCTAGAAAGGTACCTGGCCGAATTAATTCATTGCGCTCATGTTGATGTTGTTCTATTCATAATCAAAATTATAAAATTTACCTCCTGGGAAGTGAAAACGCAGTAGAATAGTATACAGCATATACCGATGAGGACATTGACGCCAGCAAAGCATGTGGTAGCCTGAAAAAAATTAGTAAACTCTTATCACAAATTTAATGATTTTGAACAGAAACCTTTGGGTTTTCAATTGATAATATATTAGGTTGCTAAGTTTTGCAACTCCTTTAATAACCCTCTCGTTGAATATGACGCATTCATATCTTGCCAATATTTAGATTATCACGCAAGCCTCAAGCTCAGCTGTTGATCCGCCAAATTCTGACGTTCAGTGAGACTTATGGTAGGATATGGTATGAAAAGGAAAATTACAAATCATCACGATTGGTTGAAATTGGTGTAGAGCGGTTATCCGACGCGCTGATCACGAAAAACATACCCTGAATTTGCATGGTAGGTTTAGGGTGGTACTATACGTCGCCGAAGGTGAGAGGGTACCGCGCTAACAATGCAGCAGATACTCAGCCTGCGCACGCATGTATTGTATTCTGTAATTGTTGCAGATGTCTGCCCATTTTCGGCGATGTAGTCCCCTACCCGCTTTTTTATAGGATTACTGTAGCTTTATGATATGGTTTCTCGCCTAAGCAAGAAAAGAGGCGTTATTTCAACAAAATGGATATGATATTCGTAATCGGTAGGTCCAAAAACGCCACTACGCGAAGACTCAGCGAATTTTGAGGTTACGGCTCCTTAGGCGTTGTGCCTCCAGCAGCCTTGCACACAGCGGTTTTTCAAATTTGTGAAGGAGCCAGACCTCAATTTCTTTTTCAAAGCTATTCCTTTATGCATGATCTGGGCTACTGACGGCTTCATTTTTTACTTAAGACCACGTAAACCAATGGAATTTACCGATTTTCGAAAAATCCCTGTAATTCTTTTATTTCGTATCAAAAATGAAATAGCTTGTGCACATGTGTAGCACACATTGAGGTCTATATACTATCACAGCTTGACTGCGTTACATTTAATGAGCGAAAAGTTATGAAAGCATTTGCAAAACTTTTTCCAGCCTGATAGAAATCTAAAGCAAAAACATACCTTGACGTGAACTGCACCGAAGCAAGTTAAGTAAGTGCGATGATCATGTTTGAACACTTTGATGCCCTTAGCAAATCGCTCTCGTTTTTGAGACAGAGTATTCGTTGGAGGAACATCGCCAGGAGAACTTAGGCAAGAAGCTGTTGGCGTCTCGACTTTTGTAATTGTCCGTGATTGCTCTAATACTCAACTTACAATACAAAGCTTGAAAAGGATATATCGAAAGGCAGTACCTGGTAGATTGATGTTCATTTCGCGAAGGTGTGCGGCACTGATACATGTAAGGCTGAGATGCGCTTGAGATTTACGTCAGTCAAAGATGGATCGATGAGGATTAGTATGGCCTCAAACGAACGTGCTCGTGCTTCAGTAAGCGGAATCATATTAGCGAGAATAACTTTGCTCAGTGAGACGCAGGTAGAAAAACTTAGTGAAAAAACAAACATAAGGTTTTACGAATGGTGCACTTTATACTTCGAACCGGGCACTGATGATTCACAAGTCTCTAAATTGCAATAGAAGGTAATGTTCGCTAATTCACTTGAGAAGCTTACGTAGTGGGAATTTTTTGGCGACATCAATTCCGAAAGTTTCATTGACTTTAAATTAGTATATCCCGTGTTTGGAGAGTGAAATTTCAGAACTGCCCATGCTTGGTCTCTTTGAAACTTAGCATTCCTAACAGTTTCAGAAAAATTACTGTATCAACAAGATTGGAAATAAACAGAGATTTGCTCTGAGCATATCAATAAAACTGGACAGTTCTTTGGTAGCAGCTCACATATGGCATTTTCGCGATCGCCAGAGCCTAATCAAGTCATAAGCAACTTATCTCTTCAGACGTCAAGAATGAATCAAAGTGCTTTTTGAGACAAAGCCACTTAAAAGCATTATCAAAATCACAGGGACAATGCTCATCCTAGTTAATAGAAAGCGAAAATCAGAAAATACCTGTCCACAAGACAAGCCTCAGCTTTTTAAGGGATGTAATACCTGATTTCGTAAGGGATCGAAAGGATTTTGCGTAATAAAAATACACTCTTATTTATTCATTTTTGATTCTTTGCATCAGCAACTTTACTGGCTAAGAGAGTGAATATCTCAAAACTGAACTGATGTGAACTCTGGCTCCAGCATCATTCTGCACATCTTCTCATTATAGCCTTTAGGGTAACGATAAGAAGTTCCATCATGTAGAACCATTGTGAGATAAGTCGTCTGACATTTTTTTTTCAAAAAACCCGAAAAATTGTGTGCTTGGGTATTCATGTATGCTAATTTCACTACACAGCTTTCTATGAGCTATATCAGCTTTTCTGACGGTGTAATCACTTTTGACAAATATTGGGAAAACAGTTGTAATGGTTTACCCGGGATAACATAGGAAAGTAACATCACAGTGGAATGCAATTTTCAAACTCAATCGCCGACTTCATCTAGCCTATTATAAGAGTTTTTGCTTGCTTATCTTCTTCATGAGGCAAAGCTCTCAATGGCCTAAAATCTTTGTCGAAGTTCCTACCATAATCCCACACTAATGAAGAGAGTTTGGCGATTCGCTCCACACCGTAAATCTAAGTTGAAGCCAGTCTACAGCATGGCGTTCGAAATTCAACGAGATATTCAAGCAAAAGAGTAATTTGCGATCGGACAGGGTGCACATTAATTTGAGACACCCTGAATTTCAAGCGCTTCAATAATATAGTGATATTTATAAAAGCTCTTTACTCAATATACTAGGACAAAGAAACATACCACACTTAGTCATTTTATTTGTAGGATAGTAAGATCTTTAATAACAACTCATTTGATCCTGAATATACTTGAAATTTTTTGCTCCGATAAATGCTCTGACTTCCCGTCCACAAATGTTCGCAGATAAGGAAGGCACATTTGGAATCAGCGTTTAAAGCTCTTCAGTATCATGTACATCACATCCGAAAAGGTCACTTCAATTGAACATGCTCCCTTGTAAGATCAGCGTTGGAATTCGACGAATAATGGTTTCTCTGCGCCGGTAGGTATGAGATCCTAAAATTACTAAGGTATGTTTGGATACCCACACAATAGTACGGTAACAACTCTTGGTCCAAAACTCCGGAA